CATTTCGTATCCTGCTGCAATAACCATATCCTTAGTGTCTTGTAGCAGAATAGCATAACTGAGAAGACAGCAAATTTAAGAACCAAGAACTTGGTGTGGGAATTCCAGCTCTTCTACCAGCGGCAGAGTAGAGTTAAAATGGATCGCTTACTTTCTGTGAATTGGTTTCTTCAAGTGTAAAAGGAGGGGTTTGGCTTCAACCAGATCCTTTTCATGCTGAAATTCTGTGATTCATTAAAATATAGTAATCCCTAGCCATCTGAAGCATAACATAGTTCTTCTGCCAAGAACCAAAGAATATCACCGAGGAAATTTGGTTTCTTTGGAGAATTGCTCTCCTTGGGTTCCTACCCAAGTAAGTATTTGCAGAACTTGACTGGAGATTAAATTACACATAGTAGCACTGAAATTATAAGAGGAAATACAAATATAGCAAAACTATTGAAGTCAATAGAGATTTATTCAGACTTTGTCCAAATTCTCGTGAGTATTTTGTAGCTGTGGGACATACAGAAAGTTATTTAACTCTCTGAACTTTAGTTTCCTCATCTAAAAATAGAACTATAATAATAGTACCTACTTCATAGATTTGTAAGGAGAATTAAATGAGATATATACACTGTGGTGCTTTGACAAATGCTTGGCTTATTATGGAGTAAACCTTAGCTGCTGCTGTTATCATCATCATCATCGTCATCATCTTTATTATCATCAGTGTGTGACATGTGTAGTTTAAAACATTTTATTATAGCAGCTGTACTATAAGAGTCTCATAGTATAGTTTTATAACGATTACTTTGAGTCATCAAGGGAAAAATTAACTTACAAAAGGAAATGCCATTGAATCAGTTTAAACTTCTTTTTTTTTTTTTTTTTTTTTTACTTGCGTTATGCGGGCCTCTCACTGTTGTGGCCTCTCCCATTTGCGGAGCACAGGCTCCGGACGCGCAGGCTCAGTGGCCATGGCTCACGGGCCCAGCCGCTCCGCGGCATGTGGGATCTTCCCGAAACGGGGCACGAACCCGCGTCGCCTGCATCGGCAGGCGGACTCTCAAGCACTGCGCCACCAGGGAAGCCCTAAACTTCTTTTTTAAACAAAATTGGTACTTCATTTTGTGTGCTTTTAGTTACAGTGAAAATTCCCTTGAGGAATATACCTGATTCTCAGATGATGACAGAACAATGAGTCATTACTGTAATTAGTTCCAGTTGCTGTGTATACTTAAAGTTTAGAAAATAGTATTTTTCAAAAGTGTATTTTCCCTAAATAGGCCATAAAAGTAAGATTTTATAGTTCATATATATCTGCCTTAAAAATAGGTTTTTGAAACATCCTGTAAACATTTTGATTGTACCGTCAAGTTTTCTCCACCCTTTCTGTATGAACTGTTGTCAGTGATTATTGATAGCATTGTCTACTTGATGTTTACAGTCTGCAGTGTATGTTTTACAGAATTAATAAGCTATAGTTAAATCATTTAACGTATACCTGAATGTCCTATTGTAGTTAGTGTGGTTGCTTTATCAATGCTGGTTTGCACTTATTTTAAATCAAACATGCAGATCATTTATAAACTGATGGTCATTTTAAAAGAAGAAAAGCTTTATACATAACTTAGTGCAGAAAGTCAAGTTAGTCTATAGTGTAAAGGTTAGAGAAAAATGGAAGTCTGTAAGGTAAATTTGAAAAGGGTTTAAGGGGTTATTGGATGTGTCTTCCTAACAAATAACTGTGAGTTTAGACTTTATTTGAATTATCTCTCATTGTAGTTTATAAATGATGGTGTTGAACACAATGTAATGTACTTGGGGTTTAGTAGCACCTAGCACTCAGACAGACCTTGAACAACATTCCCACTAAAAGGAACCAGGACTCCTTGAAGAAATGGCAGGTTCCAAGGATGGGAGCCTGGAACATATTGTTAGGCCAGAAAGTAAGGAAGTGTTCAAAAAAATGATGGTGGCCTATCACAAGGATACAGGGTCATTTTGAAGGTGTTCCCAGTGACCAAATCTGGGGTGATTTGAGTGTCAAAATAGTTAAATTCAGTAAGAATTCTAAATCATTAGGAAAAAAGATAGGAATCCATGAGACCTCACCAATAATGCACATACATATTCATAGAATCAGGAGAAGAGAGGGCTCAGGGGCCAGCTGGTAAATGTGGAGGAAATGCTGACACTGGAAAATTATGATTTTATCACTATCATAGTAAGGTTTAGTTTAGCCAAGAATCACAAGTCGATGTTAAATCTAGGGGAGAAGTTCTGATGAAGAGTGGAGGTATTTGCAAAGGTTGCTTATTGGTTGCAGTAGGAAAATTGGACAGCACTTGATCTGGATAGTGAAAATTAACATCACCAGTGTGCCTCTGGATGTGACACCCTGAGGAGAACACAGCATCACTTACATTCTCTTCTAGTCAGAACTGAACTACCTGCATCTAATCATAAGGAAACATCAGACGAGTTCCAAATGATGAGCATTCTATTAAAAGAAAAACTGTATTCTTCAAAAATATTAATATTATAGAAGGCAAAGGAAGGCTAAAAGGCTCTATATTAAAGGAGACTAAAGGCACAGGATATATAGATGGTTGATCCCAAGACTGGGATCTTGTATCTGGAGGAAAATTAAGATTTTTTTCTAAGGCGTAATTGGTTCAGTTGACAACATTATTTTGCAGATTGTAGGTATTGTATAGATTTTACTTTTACTGAAATTGTAGCTATATTGCAGTTGTATTAGAAAATGCACACTGAAATATTTATGGGGAAAGGGCCATGATGCATTCAACTTACTCTCAAATGGTTGAGAAAAAAAGCACTTTGTGTGTGTGTGGTGTGGTGTTGTGTATGTGTGGGGTGTTTTTTTTTTTTTTTTTTTTTTTTTTTTTGGGGGGGGGGGGGGGTTTTTTTTTTTTTTAGGAGGAGGAGATGGAGAGGGAGAGAGGGAGTTGATAAAGCAAATGAGCAAAATGGGATTCTGGATAAAGTTATACAGGTGTTCTTTGTTTTTGTGATTTTTCTGTAAGTTAGAAATATTTCCAAATATGTTTATACACACATGCATGCACAAGTTGGTTGAGACTTATTTCTTTTATACTTATCTCTTATTGTTCTAGGTTGCTAATTTACCTTTGATACTTAATTGGTTTAAGATGTTAAGTTCATTGATCACAGATATACACATTGATTTTTAATTTCTTTTAAATAGTGCTGGGCCTAAAGGAGATAACATTTATGAATGGAGATCGACTATACTTGGTCCACCAGGTTCTGTATATGAAGGTGGTGTGTTTTTTCTGGATATCACATTTTCATCTGATTATCCATTTAAGCCACCAAAGGTAAGAACCTAGAATTGCATTCTTTAATACTTATCCTTTTCCACAGTCAGTTTATTCTAGGGGATGGATGCAGTTATTTTTATTTAATTGTTTTTCATGGATTATACAGAAACTCTCATGTAACCAAGGATTTTAAAACTAGAAGTAATTGATTTGTGTCTTTTACAAATAACTTTGTAATCAGCGGAGAGTTTGTTAATTGTAAATAAAAGTATGCCACTTTGCACATCAGTAAGCACATAAATTTTAGATTTATGATATGAGAAAAAGTATCTTATGAACCTTGCTTAAGAAACCTGTTGGGATAAAAAGTAAATTTGTCTGACAGCTTCCGGAAAGAAGAGTTAAGTAACTTGAATCTTGTGTTAAATACCCTATCTTTATAGATGAGCAAAGACTAGAAACCTATAGCAGAGAAGAGAGAACTAGTACTATTTAATACACTTATTTTGTGCCCTCTGTAAGTATGATGCATTAATGGGAGTGAGGGCGGCTGGGTGACTTAGGCCTCCTGTTGTCTCTGAATGTGAATTAGGTGGATAACAGCGAGAAGGGTTGAGTTGTGTCTTGTGATCACTGGCAATTATTTTTCAAGTTTTAAACATAACAGTTACTTGAATAGCTTCCTCCTCTGACTTCTCCCAATAAAATGGTCAAGCCAGCAGTTTTTACTATCAGTATTAAGCCTGAGCATAATTATGCTGTAGAAAGACTTCTGACATGTCAGGGAGAAGTGTTATCAAGCCCTTAACTGTCAACCTAGTTCCTTATGTTCCCTTCACTATTTAAAATATATGTAACAATTTAATGCCTGCCTCACGTGCATGTGTGTTGTTATGTGTGTGTGTGTAAAAATAAAGGATTTTTTTTTTAAAAGAAGGCAGATCATTTCTCCCTTGTCTAACAAGGTAACAACAGTTCCACCTAGTGGTATTTACCTCAAATTGCAGATACCAAGTTTCCCTATCACCTGGAGGTATTGGCTTTCAACTACAGCTGTCAGGTTTTGAGTGCTTTACTTTGTGGTCCCATCAGAACCTAAGATCTTTAAATGATGGTCTTATTTAATGTTCTCGGGTATGTCGAGTAGTATCTTTTGCTAGATCAATCAAAGAAAGGGACAAAACCCTCATGTTAACAATACTGCAGATTGTATTCACATTCAAAATGACACATGTTAAAAGCCAATATATCATTAACTATTCAGTTTGCCTTCAGTGCTTAAGTTTTCTGTATTATAGCAAACAAAACCTAAGCAAAATAGCACATGACTGTATTTATAGTGAGGCTTATTTCTACTTTCATCATTTTTCATATTGGAAATTGGTTTTAACGTGGTAGCAAAATTAGAAAAAAGTTTGCAAGGTTTAGTTTTTATGAAATTTTTATACATGAGGGAAACTTTGTTAAAGGAAGAGACATTTTTCTTAGGATCTTTTAATGGAAAATAGAGATTGACTAGCATACTTCTGTATATGATTTGTCATAATTATTTTGGTTAATATGGCTGTTTATTAATTTAGTATGTTAATTTTTTTGCTAAAGTCTCAATATTTTTATTTTCTAACCCTTTAATGTTGATTCCTTCCTCTTCCCTAAGATATCTTATGCAGTATTATGAAGCATTCTTCAGATCTATAGTTGGACAAGTGAAAAAGAAATAAGACTTCTGCTGTTATCTTGGTTTAGGTATAATTATTTCTCTACAGTTCTGCTTATTTTTGAAGTTCAGATAAGGTGTTGAACTTCTTGAAGAACAGTAGAAATTTAATTCTTTCTGTTCATTGATTGTTAAAAGCTGAAAGGAATCAGAGTATTAATTGTGTTTGTAAGCCATGCATATCTATTGAGTAGTCAGCTGTCAATGATATGAGCATACATTATTCCCATATTCTGGAGCAGGGCTGCCTAATAGAAATATAATGCAAGCTACATGTGTAATTTTTCATAGAAACAGTGAAATTTTAATAATATTTTACTTAATCCAGTGTATCCAAAAATATCGTCGTTTCAACATGTAATCAATAGAAGCATCATTAGCGCCATATTTTACATTCTGTTTGATATTGTCTTTGAAATCTGGTATGTATTTTACACTTTTAGCCCATCTTAATTCTTGTAACCACACTTTAAGAGCTCTGTGTAACTAGTATGTACTGTGTTAGAACAGTTCTAGAGTTATATACAGTAGTCCCTCCTTATCTTCAGGAGGTATGTTCCAGGACCCTCAGTGGATTCTTGAAACCACGGATAGTACTGAACCCTATATGATGCTATTTTTTCCGATGCATAAATGCCTATGATAAAGTTTAATTTATAAATTAGGTACAGTAAGAAATTAAAAATAACTAATAATAAAGTTAGAGCGGTTATAACAATATACTGTAATAAAAGTTATGTGACTGTGGTCTCTCTCTCTCTCAAAATATCTTGTACAAACTTAATGCCTCTTCCGTCGTAACTAAGCACTTATGCCTGTAGCGTTTTCAGCTTGAGGTACAACAGCAAAACTAGCACAAGTGTTTTTATCCTTTTACAATTTCATGGATAGAAGACTCATTCTTACCATAGATCTTAGCAACCTCAGTGTAGAATTTTTTTTCCTTTCCTTATTAAGTCAAAAACTTTCACCTTTTCACTTAAAGCAAGAATTTTACAGCTTCTCTTTGGCAGATCTCAGTTGCTAGCATCACTGCTCTTGAGCTTTGGGGCCATTATCAAATAAAGTAGGGTGACCTGAACACAAGCCCTGCGTTACTGCAGCAGTTGAACTGATAGCCAAGATGCTACTTAGTAGACTGACTGGGCAGGATTATGCTGGACACCCAGGCAGGGTAGAGCAGGACAGTGCAAGATTTCATCATGCTACTCAAAATAGCACAAAATTTAAAACTTATGAATTGTTTATTTCTGGAATTTTCCATTTAATATATTTGGACCCCAGTTGACCTCAGGGGTCCAAAACTGAAACCATGGAAAGCAAAAGTGTGGATAAAATGAGTACTACTGTGGTCTCTTTCTCCTCCTTCCCCACAACGCCAGTGGTTTCTTTCTTGTTTTTAATTATGCGTCCTTATCAGAAATACACTTTTGAGTGCTTTAAACATTTTCTTCCCAGACTCCACTTGGGAGATCACAGTACATTGCTAGTTCCAAGGGATCAGGAACTGTCTTTTTTCTTTACAACTCCAAATTAAGAATTAACCACCCAATTTGTGTTTGTGATTGTTTGAAACTGGTGAGTGAGTGTTTCTATGGTTTATTCTCTTTTTTCACATATCTCAAGGATATAATAGTTTCCTTTATTCAGTAGCTTAAGACCTTACTTGTTTCATTTTACTGTCTTAGTCTAACAAGACAGTGAGCCATTTGTGGAAATGAAAGTCTGAGAAATAGAAAGGCTGGTGATTTCACCAACCTTCTCCAGTATTTTCTGACACATGGCAAGAGATTAGCTAAGTTGGTGACCTTTTTCTACTAAGAAACTAACGTAACTTTAGTTTTATGTTTAAAAAAATTCTTCACTAGTTTCTCTTACCTTTGGCACCAAAACGTTTCTGTTCTCCCTTACTTCCTGTCTTTAAATAGTGGTGTATGTGTGCATGCCCACACATACATTCATAGAATTACCGTATCATTTGTTTAAACAATTCAGCGACTCATTTGGTTTAAAAGCAATATAGTTCCAGCTATACTGGGTAAAAACAATTTCTTTGAACCGAATTAAATAAAACCATTTAATTTTGCTATTACTTAAACCTAGTGTTTGTTAGCTCTTCAATGAAATTATATGCTATTTGCTATGATCTGTGATATGTTCCACTTCATTTTTGCTAGTGAGAGTTTTAGTTGGTAATAAAGCTTTTTATTTTCTTTCTGTCTTTAATGTCACTGCCCTTAGGTTACTTTCCGCACCAGAATCTATCACTGCAACATCAATAGTCAGGGAGTCATCTGCCTGGACATCCTTAAAGACAACTGGAGTCCTGCTTTGACTATTTCAAAGGTTTTGCTGTCAATTTGTTCTCTTTTGACAGACTGCAACCCTGGTAAGCAGATTTTTATTAACACATACAATGAAGCTACAAAAACTGCATTTTTTTCCAGTTTAAAGTGAATTTGAGAAGTAAATGCTGTTGGTAGAAAGATCAGCATAAAACACTTTTTGAGGAAATTATCAAGGCCATTTCAATTAGAATAGACCAGAAGTTTCACAATAACTTCCTTTAATTTGTTAATGGCATACTACCCTATAATTATTTTCTCCCTGTCATTTGTGACTCTCTGTTTTCTAAATTAATGGAGTTGTACAGACCACTTTTGACGGGAGTAAAGTAATGTTTCTTAACACCACTGCCTCCTTCTCTTGCTCCTTCCATGCTGCCATGTGCTTTAACGCAGCCTCTCAGTAATGAAGGGCTTCTTGTTCTCCCTTCCTTTTCGGATTATGGTTGGTTATATTAGATGTGGTAATAGTCGATATTAAAATGACAGCCGATGAGAGAGTTAGACTAGATTATGATTATAAGAACTCAGAGATAAAGTCATTAGTGTGTAATCTGTAAGAAATGCCTAACTGCCGCACATGATCTTTAATGTGGGTAGCTGACTTGAAAAAATAGTGTTTAAACGTGGGATTTCGCATATGCTCTCTTACTAAGTGGTCATTTTTTAAAGAAGTTGGCTTTTTCTAAATATTTAATCAATCACCAAAGGTTATTACTGTTATATTAGGCCTAGCAGTTATACATATACCCAAAATACAGTTTGATAGATAGATAGATAGGTAGGTAGATAGATAGAATGATATATAGAAGGATATTCATTGTGGCATCTTTTATTAAAGCAAAAGATTGTAAGTAACCTACATATCCATTAATAGAAGATGTAGCTTAATGAGGTAGCTCTATGTGAATGGATAGAGAAAACTCTCTAAGATATATTAAGTAAAAAAGCAAGGCACTGAAAAAAAACACACGTGTGTAACAATATTCTAAATGCTTATAAATGTGTATAATGTCTCTGGGTAGAAATGCTGTGAACAGGTATAAATCATTTGCCAGGAAGAGAAACTTCTGAGTAGTTGGAGTCAGGAGGGAAGAGAGCTTTACGTTTTACTGGCTGTTGTTTGGTGTACTTCAAATGTTGTACATAGTACATAGTACACCTTTTTTGAAAAATAAATTCAAAATAAAATTTACATCTCAGATTCAATTTCTCACTCAGTACTATTTAAAACAAAATGGCAAGTAAGCTTTCAAATGGAGGTAAGGGTAATGATTTAAGTCGTGTTATTGTACAGAATGAAGGAAATATTTCATTCTGAATAGCATTGCATCATAGGATCTGAGTTTGGAAAAATTAATTTTTAAATATCTGTAGAACAACAAATACAATCATCTAGCACACTTTTATTGTTCAATAAAATGCTAAGAGTAAAAAATAGTTTTTGTATATTAAAGGCATACACATTTTAAAAAATCAGATTTATTAACTCAACATTTATTTTTTAAAGAGGCTTTTCTAATTTGAATATTAAAATATAAAGATGATTATGTTACTTTAAACATTTTTCTTTTGAGAAATTAGCCATTATATATCAAGATGCTGCTGAAAAATCAGGATTTCAGTTCAGTAGACTATTAGAACTGAACCTTTAAGACACCATATAATATCTTTTAATGTTCTTTCCACTTTTCCAGCGGATCCTCTGGTTGGAAGCATAGCCACTCAGTATTTGACCAACAGAGCAGAACATGACAGGATAGCCAGACAGTGGACCAAGCGATATGCAACATAATTCACATAATTTGTATGCAGTGTGAAGGAGCAGAAGGCATCTTCTCACTGTGCTGCAAATCTTTATAGCCTTTACAATACGGACTTCTGTGTATATGTTATACTGATTCTACTCTCTGCTTTTATCCTTTGGAGACTGGGAGACTCCCCAAAAAGGTAAATGCTATCAAGAGTAGAACTTTGTAGCTGTAGATTAGTTACGTTTAAAACGCCTACTTGCAAGTCTTGCTTCTTTGGGATATCAAAGTGTATTTTGTGATGTACTAAGGATACTGGTCCTGAAGTCTACCAAATATTATAGTGCATTTTAGCCTAATTCATTATCTGTATGAAGTTATAATAGTAGCCGTAGATGACTAGGAATTACGTCATTTGTATTAAACCCAGATCTATCTCTGAGTATGTGGTTCATGCTGTTGTGAAAAATGTTTTACCTTTTACCTTTGTCAGTTTGTATCGAGAGGATTTCCTTTTACCCTTTGTAGCTCAGAGAGCACCTGATGTATCATCTCAAACACAATAAACATGCTCCTGAAGGCATAGTTTCCTGTCGTAATATTTTAAGTCAGTCTTGTTAGAAGGTGTGTCTGAGATGATTGTTGATGAGATAAAAATGTGAATATGAAGATTAACTACAGAGGACTAGTATAAATAAATCATTTATTAAATTGAAAACATTTGAAATCTTATAAATGTGTAGAGTTTTTTTCCTTTAAGTCCTAATGAGAGGATACGTGAGTTTAAATATACAAAACTGCGTTAACCATTGGTCTCAAAAAAACATAAAGCTCTACTTCGATAATATGATACTTGAGCTAAAAATAACATGAAATCCTGGCTTACAAGATTTTGTTTCCAGAATGGTGACTTCTGTCCACCATTTGGGCAGCATTGTCAAATAACTTTAATCTGGTAGCCCTTCTCTGTCTTTCATGCATTTTTGACTTCTAATCCTGTTCTTGAATTTTCATGGTGTTTTTGGTGTGCGTTACCATTCTTATTATGCACTTGGCCAACAGATACAGGCAGAGACAGAGATGAACATAGAAACCCTTGTCTGCCCTGAAGGTAGACTAGAACTCTGGATTACTGTGCAGTTGTGGCATTATTTCTCAGTTGAAAGAATAGGGAATTTTCAGGGTTTAATAGGTTATATGAATTCCTTCTTTCTAGTTATAATTATTAAATATTAGATTTCTTATAGGAGTTAGTTTATTTTTCAATATTCAGATTGGTCAACAGAGTATAAATGGTTTTTTCTATGACTGGGATAGTTATTGAGGTAATTCTCTGGTCATGTGACCAAGGTTGTGAAATATGGGCAAATGTCTTCTCCAGTCCTAAATATGGAAATAAAATACCACCCTAAATTTTATAGGCTGGAATTATTAGCATAAAAATACATTGCTCCAAGATAATAAAGTAAAACATTTCTAGTTGTATATACCCTCACAAAGAATAATGGATTCCTACTTGAGTAATTGTCAGTAGAAGTCTTAAATCAGGGTAAAAATAAAATTACAGTTCTATATCTGTCTTTCACTTAACGCACACCCGCCTCTCCGCCCCCCGCCCAAAAAAACCAAAAAGAATCTCTCCACGTTACAGAGGTACACCAAACAGGCTTAGGCTTATGAAAACCTCTGAACCTTGACTATTTTAAGCAGTAACTAATAATCTGTACTGGAGTTCAAGTTAGTGTGATGAGAATGGGCATCTTTTATGTAAGCTATAAGCATTTCTATGTAGATGAGCTGTAGAAAGTAGTTTTTACCCAGTTCCAATATTGTACATTCATCCTAGGTTAATAAACTTCTCTCTTAGTCCTAGAAAAGCATTCATCGTACTGAATATCAGGATATTTGGAGATGCTATCCTTTGACTTCCTTCATTTGCTATCAGCCTAATTACTACCACCAAACCGCTTACTTGTAGGCTGTGTCCCATACTCACCTGGGACAGAGTGGAGAGAACTGGTGACATAAAAATATTTGTGGCTCTTCCACAAATTACCTTTGTGGCCTTAAATAAGACACTTTCATCTCTTACGTAAAACTCAAAGAAGTTAATTTCATTATTTCCCTGTTCTCTGTTAGTCCTCAAACTCAGTCATTCTAATCTTACAAAATTTGTTGTGCTTGTTCCACTTTCTCTTGCCAGGATCAGGCCACAGTTTCAAATGGACTGAGTAATAAGTCATCATTTCGGTTCCTACTATTAGGTTCTCTTAAAATTCTGAATTTTTAAAAATCTTTTGTATTTTTGATCCACTTCCCAGTTACATCGATGTCCATCCATGTGTACTACAAATAGGTTTTTTTTTTCCCCATGGAACTTTGTTCTAGATGTAAATTGTGGTATTTTGAAACCTAGACGACTTCTTATTCATTAAGAGCAAATTTTACAAGTCCAAATGTAATGTTGTAAGTATTCAAGAATGGCCATAGCACCATGTACCCTGTTGAGCCTGGAGTGTTCTAATTATGATTGTGTGCCCTCAGAGGGGCCATGCAGTGCACAAACCACTACATGCCAGGCTCCACTTAGTTACTGAGGTGCCTCATCTTGTTTAATATCACTCAGAAAGCTTCAGGAGAGAGACACTCTCTCCTGAGGAGATGATCCTCACTTGACAGAATAGAACTGATTCACGGACAGGTTAAATAGCTTGATGCAGATTACACAGGCAGTATGATGCGGAAGTACAGCCCCCATTCTTTACCACTAGGCTAAGAGTTTTTGTTTATAGCATTACAGTTAGTATTTAATATATATATGTTTATATGTAAAAGCGGGTATACATAAATTAGAAAACTTCTGAAAGGTAATCTATAAGATAAAGTACAATTTTGCATTTTAGTCAATCCTTATTTTAATCTATTTTAGTCTCAAATGGAACCTTTCAAAATAAGCCCTTATTAATTGATTCCAATGAATACGAGGTATGTTTATTTATCTTCTGTCTCAGACATTTGTCATAAGAATACTTTTAATATCACTGGCTTCCCTTTTTTAATTTGGAAAATGAGATAAACGATGTTATTTTAAATTTATTTAACCATGCATCACATGACCACATCAGAAGATATATATTGATAAATTTATCAATCATTTAATGATGACCTTTTTCAAAATAAGAAGATACATTAGTTACCTAGACATTGACCTTTTTTTTTTTTTTTTTTTTTTCCTAAACTAGGATATCGTAACGTGTCACAGGGATAAAATTCGTAGGTTTGATTTGGCCCGTGTGTATGTTAACTCTTTCTAATAAGGACGTGGAGGTGCTGTGTACTTGGAGTCAGTCCTCTACTTGCCCGTGTGTGTTCTTACAGCAATACAAGAATGACTGCATTGTAAAACTCAAGTCAGTTTCAGTCCTGTGGCATCACATAGTAACCTGTGTCCTAGTCATGTTAATGCAGTACATTTGCACGTCTTCAGCTGACATACTGTGTGTGGTCTTTGGACAGAATCATGGCATGATTTGAAGCATTAATAATTTTCATAAAACCATTGCAAATGATTTGAAGGGGTTGAGCTAATGATTCTACAATAATTATCCACTTATATTTCAGTTAGTGTTTCTTTAGATGAATAGAATATGTAAATAAATCCCTTGTTTCATGTTTCAGTAATACAGAAATATTAAAAAATAATTCATAATTACATTTTAGTAGATAGGCATTATTTGAAATAACAATTTTTTGTAACTAGTTTGTTAACCTTTCTTTGGTAAAGTTCTTCAGTGATTTAAGTGAACTGCTCCAGTGCGTAATGGGATGTTTCTACACAGTGGAATGATAGTCCTTTCAAAGTGATTATGAAGTGAATTTCTAGGACTGGTGTGGATAAGTGGTGTTAAAGCCTTGTCAGACAGAATCAACCTAGATATTACCAATAAGTGCATTTAGAGAACTATAAATTGACTTTAAATCTTTTGTATCTGTAGGTTACCTTGCTGAAATCCAGTGAGGCTAAAGCCAATTATGCAGGTCTTTTTAACATAGAACATTAAAAGCAGTTTTTCCCCCAAATCTTCCAATTCCTAAAGTTTATCTCAAGTCCAGCTCTTTTGACGAAACCTTTCCATTTTACTGTCATGTACCTTCAGTCTGTCAGTCTCTCTGTTTCTTTTGAGACACCATCTGTACAAACATCGGAAATAATAGAAGCAATTCAAGCATGTACATATTTCCAAGTGTGATCAAACAAGCCAGGTGCCCTTCTGGGCAAGAATTCTTTGTTCTTTCTTTTTTTTTTTGGATGGGAGGGGTGGAGCGGGGAGGGTGGTTATACTATATACCACCTTAACTGACCTCCATGGTGAGTTTATTCTACAAATTTTAAGAGTTTGCTAATTGAAGGTCCTTTCAGGCACTGTGATGCATGCAGAGATGAATACATTCTTAAATAGTTTTTTTCCTGTCCAAATAGATTTTTCCCTCTTGTTAGCAGAGGAGAACACATCTTTGCTAATGTGTATCCATTTTCTACTGAATGAGAAATCAAACAGATGTCCCTGCTGATTTAGCTATGAAAATATTAGTATAATAATTAGGTAAGTTTTATCTAATCTATATGATGTTAAACATTCTTAATACTATTTGATGCTTTGAAAATAATTACTGTCTTTCAAACTACTCTGAATATCCAATATCTCTAGCGTGCATTTTGATACTTTATTCAGTTTAACACTTTATACATACTTCTGGATAGTGAGCTTTTGAGGATAATATCTATAGTCCTTGTCTCTGTATCTTAGCCCAATATATAACATGATATACGTTTGCTGAAAGAATGAATATTGTATCATGGGTGTAATCTTCTCCATAAGGTTATCCAGGGACCGTGTAAAGCATATAAGTCATGTCTTCTTTAATCCCCCATCATACTGATTCAGTGCTTTATACTTGGTAGGTGATATTCCTGTAAACTTGAAATGTGAGAAGTAGCAAGGGGTTATTTTCATAACCTACTTAATGCCTACTTGTTTTAAATGGAGAATGAATTAATCTTGTGATTTTAAAAGTCCTTATATATACCAAAATGCTTTCTGTCCTACAAAATGTACATCATTTCCCATTATCATTACTGTCTTAATTGATATATTTCTCCTATTCCTTTTTACTGGTAAAAAGGAAAAAGACAATGGAATATATGTATCTGCTTACAGTATTCTTTTAGGGGTATCTAATAGGAAAAATGAAAAGTGGTAGCTTTTGAAAAAATTTCTTTTAAGAGAAATATTTTAGGGAAAAGGAACAAGTATACTGTACTGTATAGTAGTACAAAGCGGGGGGCAGTCCTGGAGTGTTGAAAGTTAGTCATTGAAATATTATCCAAATCTCTTCCTTTGGTTTTTCTTTCCCACTTCTATCTTCTGTGAGAAAGGGAAATAGAATAGGACAAAGAACCAAGCAGGTCACTTTTTTCTTTATTGCCCCGTGTTATTCCTGAGCCAGTAGGTGTAATTGAAAGGTGACAGGGTAAAAGCTCCCTAATTCCAGAAGTGTAATTCTGCCTTCTCATTGTAACGTGA